CCATTTAATCACATACATATACTTCCAGACTTTCGAACCAAACTACGGAGTAGGCTAGAGTTTAGGTGAAAAAACAAAGATAAAAGCAAATGAATGGCTCGTGTTTGTTTGAGAACCTTAGCGGAGTACGATTCCTATCAGAAAAAACTCAGAGCGAAGACGAAAAAATTGGCTAAGGATCACGTCCTGAAAGTGGAGTAATTTGACGCTAAAATGTAATTGAACGCTGCATAACAGTTTCATCTTTGTAGAAAAACACTTACATCCAGCAAACTGGCAGTCTGCTGAAATATAATGAGTTCAAATGCGTTTATGAGAAACCATCGGTGAACAGATCAGCATTAAACATCTCAAAAACCCTAGATAGAGATAAGAATCAGCAGCCACGGGTGGCTGATAAGGTCACCAAATCGTGTTTAAAAGAGACGCGGTGCTACAATGTTTTCAGTCAAGTCATTTCGGATGCATGGTTATTAAATGACTGCTTTCGGGATAACACATCACTTAACTCATGAAATTGTGTACAATACATAAGGGAAAATACTTTGTACGGAAAGAAGGCATAATTTCGAAACTATTATTGATGCCTAAAAATATTCACTTGTTTTCCTTGCTGATTTCTAACTCAAGGGTTGAATTTTTTTTTGGGGGGGGGGAGATGAAAAATTTCTGAACTGACATCCAGCTCATTCGACAAGACGTGATCGATTTTACAGCAACAAGATTCTTAACAGGGGGTAGTCTGCAGATTTTGAAAAAAATCTGTGACTAGTGGGATAACCGAGTTTTTGGCTTTTCCATACCCAACGGACGTGCAACAGTTGTTTGATTTTTCAATGTAAAATTCAATACAAACAAGCAAAAGCTAGAGAACAAGTTATCAGGGTGGTGTGATGTTTAGAACGCCTTAAATTTGAGTCCTTATTAATAGTCTGTCTGCTTGTCCAAAGTTGATAATGAATTAGCTGCTTGCCAAACAGCCAGGTAACATCCATTTCTGGATGAGTTGATTGGACTGAAAATTAGAAAATTAAAGTTGTCGAGTACGCTGTACCCTGGGCAATTTGTTCCGGGTGCGTGAAAACTTAGTCCACTGGACAACTTCTACAGCATCGATTAAACGTTGTACGTGCAACCATTAGGTTACTAAAATTTCCCTAAACTGCGAGAAAATTGACATGCCCTTGTGGTGTCTCTTCAACTTGCACTCCCTGACTAGTGTAAAGAATCGGCAATTTTGCGGAAAAAAAATTAGGATGTAGAATTTCATCTTCCATTGGGTTCTCTCAGTTTTCCTGTTAGCAAAACTTCACGAAGAGTTATACGCAGAAAGGAAGGGTACGCTAGCAAGAAGTGTCAACAAACGCGTGGAATATATTTGGGGGCAATTGTTAAAAATAGCTCAAAGTACAAGTGTTCCTGCTCCCAGAGGGGAAATATAAGCAGACGGGAAACCGGGCCTGAAAAGAAAGATAAGCATTTCAGATCATCATCCAAACCCCACGTTGCCAAATAGCTCAATTTTGACAAGCACACTTGTTCCGGTTTGTTTTGCAATTTCTTTTGGAGATTTTTTTTAAGATTTCAAAGGGCCCAGTTGATTTCGGTTGGGGAGCCAGATGAGCAATTTAATCTCAAGTAAAACCAACATCTCTTTATTCGGATTGCTTTGAGTTTTCTCCTCAAATTGCACATGTTCAGGACACAGGCACCCACACAAGCCACTAGGTGCTTGTACAAGCGACTCTAGTCATGTTCTCAAATTATTCACCATCTCCATCCAGTTACTAACCAAGGCTATCCGTCGTAAATAACTTTCAGGCTAAGCTTCAAATGTTTGTCACAGTTGAGATATGGCTGTGTTAGGTAGTCACTTCCAAATAACTAAAACTTACTTTGCTCAAATACCAACCTTCCTCCTCCGGATTCGTGTGACTCTGCTTTTGCCGAAACCGTTTGTTGGTGACAAGTGTAAGGACCAGGTAAGCTTCAGATGTAATTAGTAAGTTTAAAATTAAATAACACTTCCAGATTAGTAATTTTTCAGTCTTTTGGTTTACTCGTTATCTGACAGTTAAAGTAAAGCAGGTTTATTACATGAAAGCCGAGCTGGGCAGATCGGTCAATTTTCTGAAGTCTGCTTATGCATCATGTGCAAAAAAGATGCCCAATAGTGTTTCTTTCCTCTTGTGAATACAGCGAAACTTCTCATTATTAGCCATCCAGGAATGCCCTCAAAGAGAGCAGTACTGAGTCACAGGCAAACAATGAATACTACGGCATTCAGCAAGGGTAAATGAAAAACAGATATGCTGCTGATATCAGATGGTCCACTGGAAAAATATCCTTCACTTTTGCTCAGAAACGTTCCATTCCACCATAGCGTTATCTCAGCTGTTTATCTTTTGAAAACGTACTATTTGACCAACGAGGAACCAACCACTTCCATTGACATACAGCACTCAAATACATACAGATGTACTGGTTCGATATAGCTGTATAATTATGGCTGGCGTGTGAAGATGTACCTTATCAGTGTATAGCTACACTCATAGAAAAATAATTATGAATTGTGCAATGAAAATGTGCGCTTAGGTTGTCGTTGAACAGTGGATTAGAGTAAGTTCTGAATTAATGGATAATAACGTGCTGCACCATCCCGTTCCCTAGTTTCTGAAATGCTAATTCCTAGTTCGGGTGCGTTGAAAGTCCTTCTTTTTGCATTGTTATACTAGTAATAAGGCGAACCGAACAATTTACGTAAGAATCGGTTGCATATTTCGATGAAATAGGGATCGCTAGAGATTCCAGCTGCTCTTAAATGTCGACTTGGATATCAGAGACACCCGGTAAAGGGCATCGCCACCTTGGCCTTTACAACCGTGGAATGATTTCCTCTCTTCTGGAACCACAGAGCTATCTATCTTCGAAAGGAATAGTGGGAAAATAATAATCGCTTGGCTCAAACACCCTTTTTGATGTCTAGCTGTCATGCCACCTGAGGGAAGCACGAGGGATGAGATACTGCCAGGTTGTCCAGGCCTAGTCAGCAGCACTCAAGATGCAGAGGTCGGGTCGGTACCACCGACCTTCCGGTTAGTAAGTTCGTGCCTTAGCCACTGAGCTATCTCGGAAGAAGTAATAGAGGGACATGCTGAAATCACGCCGACCATGAATACTTCTCACTGATATATTTGACGATTGAAACTGTCGAGAGATTGCAAGTCCACCTTACGTAATAAGGCTGAGAATTTACAAGTTCCTCAAAGTTTATTCATCATGGCCAATGCGAGACGAATTTCAGCGGTTCGACCCATTTCGGTGTGTATACAATGCATCACTCGAGGAACCACATTGAGGGAATTTTGAATTACTCCCGCAATCGAAATGTTTCCTCTCGGGGAAGGATGAATAAATGAACCATCACCTTCATATTCTGCAGCCATTTGTTTAGCTTAAGGGTTTTAGGACTGGCATTGCAGTATAAGGGTAGGGTTATTTTGAACGGTGCTCGAGGGCGGACAGACGGCCAAGAGCTAGCTTCAATTTCACCTTGCCAACTGATTAATATTGTATTAATATACGACTGCGTTTGACCGCAGAAGGGTGTTTTCCGAAAACTTTTCTCAAGGGCCAAAGAAAACGATTACTAATGAGAGTAGAAGGGTCCAAGAGGAAAACTGATCAAATGTTTCCGAATGCATGCTAGGGTTAGAATGTTTTTCATTTAAATGTCCATTTTGGCTAAAAGTGGTAACCACCTGGGTTAGTGATCTATCGAATGGTAAGTGCACACACGCAAACGTTTCTGGATAAGAAAGTAATTCACTCCCCCCGCTTAGATACAAAACATGAGGCAGAAACGCTGCGATCAGGAGCATTATCCAGTGAGCTATGTATCTGCCCAAAATCCACCGGACAAGAGAAAGTCGTTATAAAACGATTCGTTTAGGTTACCTGTCTTTCCTTTGAATCTATTTGCACCAGATAGTACCCAGACCGAACAAACAGGAGACAAACTACATGAATCTCGTCGTAAAAAGGGAAGTGGATTTTCATCCTATTCAAGTTTGTCGCTTCTCATTTGAAGGGTCTCATATTAACACTTAGAGAAAAAAGAAAGCAACTGTGATCCTCATAGAAAGGCAGTCTCGTTTTAAGGAGGTCTCTTGTTCGTTTCCGTGTCCTTGTATTCACAGTAAACTCAAGTCAGAAATGATGTATGGTCGACAAAGTTAGTTTTTTTCTCAGATCTTTAGAAACCCCTTGTTCAGTTCTAGGATACTGCCGCATCTGTCGATAGTGTGAATGAATCAAAAGTGGGTCGTTGTCGTCTGCTACACCTTAAGAGTACTGCCCACGTGTCCCCAGTGCATGACATCCTGTGGAATTTCCAACACCCGAGTGGCCCGAATAACCAAAATCTTACGTCTCATTCTTCCAGATGCTTCCTACACATCTTCGTTTGTATTACTCTGCATAAATAGCGTCGAATACTTAACGCAACGTCCAAGTTGTCAGTCCTGCTTATGCTGTGAGGAATTAGTGAACCATGGCAATTACTTTCATAGCTCCTTGGACAAGTTAAAAACCCTATATCTTGCATGTCAAACAAAAATTCAAATTCTTACCTGTGTTTAACATTGTGAGAGCAGCTTATAATGTAAATGCCCCAAATTCCTGATCCCTACACTGTTTTCAAGAGCTGGTCTATTCCGAGTTGGTTTTTAGCTTCACATAACCCCAACGAACAAATTTCACAGACGAAAAATACAAAACTTGTGAAATCGATTGTGATTATGTGGGTTGGTGTAAACAGTTCAGAAGTATGGCGGGGTTAGTTAGCCTTGTCCTATGGTTTCTGATAAATAGCCCTAAATTTTACCCCTGAATACTAACAAGTTCCCTGTATCTGGGTCCCATCCTTAGATGGGAGCTCCACGGAGCCTTAATTCAAACTTGCCATATATTGCCCCGCCTTTTCAACTTATATTTCCCAGAACGAACGATTGGTGCGGAATGCTGTTCTTCGTCTCTTAAAAACGTTGAACCAACGTAGTCTGGAAACTGTTGTTCATGCTGCAGAACGTCGTCTTGTCCAGCTTAAACGTGTGAAAACTGAGTATGGAGAATCGCTTTCGGAACACCTGCCTACCAGCTGGATGACAAACGATGATTATGACTTCACCAATTACTTGGATACCACTACAAACGGTAGCCGATAACCTGGAGCTCCACTAACCAGCGTGCAACCCTAATGGACAAACCTTCTCCGGTGCCGTACGGCGAGTAAACCCGTGATTGCATTGATACTCTCTCTCCATTCCTTTGTCATCTGTCTGCTCTTTTTAGGCCATCTGTTCATAAATAATCGAGGCATATTTTTCAACCAATTGTTTCTTCTTGTAAGCGACTGAATTACCCAAGACCCCCCCAAAAAAATAATCTCCACGAAAGCTTTATATAGAAACGCCACTCAGCTGTGAACTCAATACCGGTGCTCGCGATCACCAACCCGTTGTGTACAAGCGAGCTATATCAACATGGGGTATACATAAGGTTGAGTTGAAGCAATCGCGTTGAGAAAATTGAACAGACAGAATGACTTCAAGTTTGGCATGCCGTGCCAATGCTTTTGGGTTTGCATCAACAATAAAGGTGGCAGTTCCGTGTATTCAGACATTTATATATTCATTACTCGGTGCATCCAGGGTCTTGAGTTTTGGTTAGACTACACTTTCTCTGTGCCAGATAGTATAACCAGGAGTCATCTTATCCATAGATAATTATATATATATATATATATATATATAATTTGTAGTACAACATACGAGACCCTGAACTCGTCAGTCTCCTAGGTCAACCAAGACTGGAAAGATCCCTCATCAAGGTAACCCTTCTAAGTGAGAACCTTTCTGCATAAGAGGACTACTTTGTCGCAACTCCGTAGGACGCACTACTGGATAGGTGAATGAAATATAACCCTTCCTCCAAAAATAGATCAAAAGCTTTGGACGATTTTGACCTCATTAATTTTCAACAAAGACCGCCTTTCTCCGAAAATCAGGAAACCTGAAAATCGCTCGGAGTGAAAGTTGCACTCTGTTTAGCTATTGAAATCGTCTATGTCTGAACGGTGAAGTTAGCGCGATTATTCACTTCCGGTGCACATCCATGACATCAAATAATGAGGACAACTAATGGTCACATCGTACCCGTTAGCTCACAGCTTAATATCGTATGACAGTGAAAGTGAGAATAAGAATCTATGATATTTAATATACCGGTCTCTAGGACCAGGTCACACTGTCATTAGCTTGCTCAGACAAGTGGGTGAGAAGGGTCACAAGTTGCTACAAAGAAGTCGCAGACGCTTAGGGCTAACGAGTTTTGTAAAATCAAAATTCTTTAAAATCGATATGAAGCCTAACATTTGAAGTATCGGAACTCTGTCCATATCCGATAATCGACCACTTATCCTCCGCGAAATGACCTGATCTTTATCACGAAATGGGCGTAGCCCAAAGCATCTCATGTTGTGCTCCACACTTCGCCTCTGGTGTAAGGTGAAAAATCTTCATATCATGATGTTCATAATGAATGCACACTGAAAATTGCAGCAAAAATATCTTGTTTTTATCCCATTTTTGTCAACTTATCGATCGATACATGTTGGCCCACACAAACATACACCCGAAAGCCATATGGTATTGCAAATATCTCGAATAAATTTTCCAGCATATATTTTTATTTCCTGGGTGGGATTTTGTGCAGTCATTTAATATCCTTTATAATGACCTTGGGACTGAGGACAACGACTGCGAGGCGGGGACGGATTCTCCTAGGAATCAACTGATTTAAAATATTGCGTTAATTTTATCCGTTTATTTATCCTGACCCATCAAATGCAGCACTGTCCTAGCACATGTTTACTGAGCCTGTTCCGAACAAATATTCGATGGAACATAAGTCATGCATGTTGATTAGGTTTTTCGTCGGAAATTGACAGAATTCCGCTTCCAGAAGAGACGTAACGATGCAGTGTCATCCACACGACCATTTCCCCAATTCCAATCGTTTCCTGGTCCGGACGAGACTGCATGAGTCACAAACCCACATGGAACCACTTTCAATTGGATATCTTATTTACACCTTGGCTTGCATAAGAATGATTTCCTCTTTCGGCATAAATTACCTTAAAAACATCATAAACGAGAGATTCAGCTGGGTTCCAGGTGAGTCAAAACCAAATTGGTATGCAAATGAGTGCATTTCGCGAACAGATCGGCCTAATTTACAAAGAGAGATCTCGAATGAAAAAGTATTAAATCTCCCTCACATTACCAACGAGCTCTATGAGTGACTCAGGAAGAATAGGTCACCTGATGAGTGAAACTTCTATCTGAGAAGTCGGTCAATAAGTAACCACTTGATCTGAATCCCGTGATTGAAGCACGAGCGGTATTACATCCTGTCCAGATGAGAGTTAATCACATTGCTGGTCAGCCACTGGTAGCCAAACTGTTTGGGCTCCACTTACCAACTTGGAATTTACAGGTTCATATCCCCCCTCCGAACGTCCAGTTAAGGAATGGAATCTCGATTGGAGAATTTTTTATCAGCCTGCCCAGGATTTACAACAAAAGACAAACAGCCTTTAAAACAAATGGTAGTATCATACCATACTAGATGTACTTCTGTAATCTAGGCGACGCTGTGCCCGAAACACGGCGATCGACACAGAAATTTATGCTCTGGTTGCCAAAACAGGCACTGGATTTGGTCGTCCATAAAGACTCATTTGGTGCACCCACGATTCGTGCTGTTGCACTCACTTCGCCGCTCTATGGAAAGGAACATGGACGTTCGAAAAACGGTGTACGAGAATACTTGACAGTTCACGCAAAATCCTGTAGATTTGAAGTTTGGATTGAATTCTGAACACTGTAGTGCTCAAGATCAACAGGATCCGGTGCACGTTAGAGCGAAACCAAGTAGAAAAATGACCGATGGCTGCATTCTGGAACAAATCAAATGTGATCTTCGATGGAGATATCGTCTTTTCAGTAAAGTCACTCTATGCTGAAAAGCCGAGAAGGATTGTTTCATCTTTGTTGGATATCATTAGCTTTACGCATCCCACGAAACTCCAAGTTTCGAACCCGCACCCTACCGACCAGTGGTTGAACAGTTAACCGTTTGGCCACAAGCGGCTGACTAGCGGTGTAACCAGATCTCACCTAGACAGGACAAAACGCCACTTATTCTAAAACAACGAAAACCATACCACGTGATGACGTATTGGCTGGCTCCTTGAGAGACCAGTTCTCAGAAGGAAGTTTCACTCATATTGTGGAAATACCCTTCCTCTGAGCTACTTACTGATTGATGGTGATGTGAGATTTGGAATATACACCAATAATCTGCTAATTTGTGAGCATAAAGTGAAAATAGACCTAGTACAAGGTGACCGAAATCAACTCTAAAAACACTTGACTAATGGATGAAGGTTACGCTAAATTCATTTCACGCAGACATAAAATAGTGAAGAAGGGCAGACCAAAATCTCAGCAAACTACTGAAAACACACGAAACACAATGCGACGGGCAAGTTCACTTCGTGAATCCTCTCTTGATTTCCTGCCAGGTTCTTATAAAATCTTGAAAAAATCGCAATACAAGTCAAGTACTTATGATGACGAATTAACGAAAGCTCCCTTGGACACTGCAACCTCCCCTGTCAAAAGCCTGTGATCTTTGCTGTTGATGGATGCTGCCTCCACTTGTGAATTTAGAAAACAACTCTAAAAGATACTTCAGACAAGTTTTAGCTGTTGGTCTTTTGAGCAGAGTTGGACACAGAAGTCAAATCCATAAGTGTGGTCTGATGCAACATCCACCATGTCTTAGCTGATACGTCACTCTTCCGGTTAGCAAGACCTCGTGGACACATTCGCAGATTTTGTTCCTAAATTTTTTATACAGTATGCGTCAAGCAACTCAAACAACTGGACTTATAAAAAATTAGTGGCAACAAAGCAGTAATGCGAACAAAGTTGTGAACATAACCCTGTAAGTTAAATAGATTGAGTTTTCATCGTAATCAGGACCTATGAACAAAACACCGTCTTTCTAGTGCGGGAAGCTGTGGACAATAAGGAAATTTTGCAGTTTCAGCTGGGGTTCCATCACGAGAGTGGGTGGCCAAAGAAATCAGCAGCAGCAGCGCGTATCTCGCGGGTCACCGGTGAGATGCGAACGCGCGATATTCCAGAGAGCCACTGAATATTACCATTCGACTGTAAGGAACTGAACAATATACGTAATTAATTCTAACGGACGAACTACGAAATTTGCAACTTAAGTCGCATTCTGTAACATGATGACAAATGAATAACTACATGACATAATTAGCAAGACTTCAAGCACTAATTTCCACAAGAACCGCGACAATGCATGCTATTTTTTTAAATATCTACCGTGTCTGATGATCTAGATGCAGGTAAATTTCGTGACAATCTTGTGTGACTTCAGATCATTGAGCACGTATATTTTACGGTTGTAGAATAGTGTACCAGATCTGACGAATACACAAACAATGGATCAAGAGACAGCCGTCCGATGAGCCATCAGATAATTCGCTTTAGGAATGCATCAGCCTAGCGAGAAGAGTGCTACCTTTCGTGTCTGATTCAGAGTGGCAAGTATCTGCAGGTCAGGAAAATATGACCTTGGGGAAGAAAATGAGGTTATGGGAAGTCTTTGTGTTATCCGAATTTCCTGATATGTCCTAAGTGATGCTCCTTGTGGTTAGTTGAAGAAACAGAAAGGTAGATCACATCTAAGAATGAATTCGATCCAAAATCATATGGATAACCTTTAGGAGCGAACAGCACCTCTGGTCGGACAATCTGGGACCCCCTGGTTGGTCCCACGATGTCGTTTGTCCAGTTATTGTTAACGGGTTCAGTGAGATGGAGGAGGTTAAACTGTCAAAACAATAAATGACATGTTGTAACGTCATCCCGACCTAAAGCTGCCACCTTGAATTGGTGGTCGGGTTTGAGTACTGCTGCTGAAACTTTGTTCCACACGGTGAAATAATCCGAGGAAGGCTAAAAGGGAGTAGCCAGACCAAGAGCAGTGAGACCCCGTACTACGAGGCGATATGTGGCTAAATTCGTACGGTTTTCTGCGAAAGGAGTGTGAAGGCAGTGAAAGTTTGCCCCCAAGTGACCAGCACGTCCATATTCATGGAAGCAGCAATGCTGCCTTTCCCCGAGGAAGGACGGGTTACAAAAGGTCGGCCCGAAAAACCGCACACTCCGATCGTCCGGCGGTTGACCGTAACCACCGGCGCACTATCCAATACGGTCGAAATAATTTTGAAACCAAAGAGTCCGGCGCTGCTCAAAAGGTACCTGTTGTGCGCAGCCGCATCAGACCCTACTTCCAGCACCCTCGGGTTGGGCAAACCCCCTGCGGTGGAGCAGGTCAGAATATTGTGTCGAGTGGGGCCTCCAATGAAAACCCCAATGTCCGAAGCCTCGTGGGTTGGACACTTGAGTCAGAGGCTCATGATGGAGTACCTCAACCAAACCCAATTCATAGGTCTGGGCAAGCGGGAAGTATCACTTTCCCGCACCGATGTCTCTCTCCAACCCGTTCTCAACATACAAACAAACGTCGCGGGGCCATTTGACTGTCAATTATCTGACCGAAGGGTCTTATGCTCCCCACTGCCTATCAACAATAAACAAAATAACACCTTTCTAAACCCATGAAATTCTTTCTCAATAGGAGCTTTTAGCCTCCGCATTCTATGTCACATTGGCAAACAGGGAATAGTCACTGAAACCTTGTACTCCCTTAAAATCGATGAACCCTGTGTTTCTGAAACGCACATAAAACCAAAGCGTGATTATGCATCTCAGAACGCCAAGGAAAAACTCAGCTATTTTATATTTCCCCCTACGTTTGTCCGGTAATCTAGAAGCGATTATTCGTGGAACATTTGGCGTGGGAATCGCACTCAGACCCAAAGCTGAAAACGCTTTGGATTGGATCCAAGTGAACAGTCGTCTTTGCGCTGTCCGGTTGTCCAGCTCAATGAAACTCGATGTCTCTCGATACGAAAAGCAGTGCATGTTTGTAGTGCTGAGACCCCGTACTACGAGGCGATATGTGGCTAAATTCGTACGGTTTTCTGCGAAAGGAGTGTGAAGGCAGTGAAAGTTTGCCCCCAAGTGACCAGCACGTCCATATTCATGGAAGCAGCAATGCTGCCTTTCCCCGAGGAAGGACGGGTTACAAAAGGTCGGCCCGAAAAACCGCACACTCCGATCGTCCGGCGGTTGACCGTAACCACCGGCGCACTATCCAATACGGTCGAAATAATTTTGAAACCAAAGAGTCCGGCGCTGCTCAAAAGGTACCTGTTGTGCGCAGCCGCATCAGACCCTACTTCCAGCACCCTCGGGTTGGGCAAACCCCCTGCGGTGGAGCAGGTCAGAATATTGTGTCGAGTGGGGCCTCCAATGAAAACCCCAATGTCCGAAGCCTCGTGGGTTGGACACTTGAGTCAGAGGCTCATGATGGAGTACCTCAACCAAACCCAATTCATAGGTCTGGGCAAGCGGGAAGTATCACTTTCCCGCACCGATGTCTCTCTCCAACCCGTTCTCAACATACAAACAAACGTCGCGGGGCCATTTGACTGTCAATTATCTGACCGAAGGGTCTTATGCTCCCCACTGCCTATCAACAATAAACAAAATAACACCTTTCTAAACCCATGAAATTCTTTCTCAATAGGAGCTTTTAGCCTCCGCATTCTATGTCACATTGGCAAACAGGGAATAGTCACTGAAACCTTGTACTCCCTTAAAATCGATGAACCCTGTGTTTCTGAAACGCACATAAAACCAAAGCGTGATTATGCATCTCAGAACGCCAAGGAAAAACTCAGCTATTTTATATTTCCCCCTACGTTTGTCCGGTAATCTAGAAGCGATTATTCGTGGAACATTTGGCGTGGGAATCGCACTCAGACCCAAAGCTGAAAACGCTTTGGATTGGATCCAAGTGAACAGTCGTCTTTGCGCTGTCCGGTTGTCCAGCTCAATGAAACTCGATGTCTCTCGATACGAAAAGCAGTGCATGTTTGTAGTGCCGGCTTGTGCCCCAACGGACTGCAGTTCTGAGGTGGAGAAGGATAACTTCTATCGAGAGCTATCCGGGCTCATTCGTCAAACAAAATACACTGACATTGTGATCCTTGCAAGCGACCTGAATGCTCAAGAAGGTCATCTGAGGTCTTTGGAATCACATTCAGGCGGTCGATTCGGAGTTGATGCTCGCCGCACAGACAACAGAGATCTACTCCTGCGGTTGTATGCTGATCATGAACTGTTGTTTCTGGTCAGTGCAAACTTCCAGCATGAACGTTCGCATCACGTAAACTAACGGCGACCAACTGCAAACCAACCGTGGACCCAGTTCGATCAAGTGGCCATCTGTCAGCGGTGGAGATCTACAATTCGAGACTGCCCTTCCTTCTGGGAAACACCATTTGAATCCGATCACGTCATGGTGCATGCACGCCAGACAGTTCGTTTCCCTTCAGGTCCTCACAAGTCAATAACAAGCATACCAACCCACCATCTTCGAAGAACAACCATAGCTCAAAAGCATCGGCCCAAGCTAGCCCAACAACCCTCCACAGAAAACCAATACTGTGGTGGTAGTGAGCACCTGGATGAAGCATGGCAAAATGTGAAAGGAGCTATGCTAGCGGCGTTCAGTGCTGTCCGACTTTTCCGATTCGACCACAAGACTACTGGATGTCGTCGGGATCGCTATCCATGATTGATGCCAGGAAACCTATACCAGCAGGCAGCGAGTACGACATGGCATGCAGACCCCTAAAACACCAAATAGTGAAGACCGAGAGCTCTGGTAGACATCGAAAGCTCGGGAGATGAAGGCTTTTGCTACCGGAAACAGCCGTATATCCACTGATACAATCGACTGGCCCAAGAGAAGCAGCGGTCAGTGAAACGATAAGTGAAAAACGCGGCTCATTAATTCGCTCGCAAAAACGTCGACCGGAACGATGGGCCGAACACTCCGAGGAACAGTGTTGTTCTCCTGCAACACAGCCTATGAAGATATTGCATACGGGCGAACGGAACGTAAACTTTAATCGCCTATCGTTAGAGCAAATAAAGTACGAAATATTTGCATTAAAACGTGAGGAGGCCCCAGGACCGGACGGTCTGTATCTAGTTTTGTCCAAAGAAGGCGGAGGATCCCTGGTGGCTAATCTGACAAAGCTTATTGGTGTTGTTTGGAACAAAAGTGTCTACAGAATGGAGCACGTCGACAGGTACTCCTATCTTCAAATAGAGTACGCAGACGCCGTGTGAAAACAACCACGGCATCAGTCTGGTAGTTATGACATCCAAAGTCCTCTCTGGTCTTATCCTTCGACGGTTGACTGCACACTGGAAGAGGCAGATCCGCGAAAACCAAACTGGGTTCCGTCCTGCAAGAGGATGCGTCAATCACATCTTCACCCTCCGACAGATTCTAGAACAGCGACTCCAAGCGACCAACAGCGGTTGAGTTCCTTGATTTGAAAGCTGTCTTTGACTCTGTGAACCGTCAAGTACTATAGCAGTGTCTATGGATCAAGGGTAACCCCGTAGATTCTTAACCTTCCTTAAGGCGCTGTTCGCCAACACCTACCGACGTGCGAAGGCCTACGGGAACCTCTTGCCTGAGTTCATCACATCAAGTGTTCTCAGGCATCGCTATCCTCTTTCACCTTCCCTCCCAAATTTGAGTGAAATGATTATGGAAGACTCACTACCAGCCTCTAGTGCCTGTGGGGTAGAGGCGTTCACTCAGATAGAGTATGCAGATGACATAACTTTTCTTGGATCTGTCATGGTAATGCAAACAATATTAAAGAATCTAACTAATTCTGACTCATGGTTTGATATGCGCTTCACACCTACGAAGTGTAGGTGTGTGTGCTTCTGGATGCGTCTATTGGGCAGTAGACAAGTTTGCTCACATGGGCAGCCCTATCAGTCCCGGTGGTCTTGCGAAAGACATTTCCATCAGGACCGGGAAGGCCAGAGCAGCTTTTGTGAACCTGCGTCACCTGTGCCATACGTGTGACATCAGTTTATCCATCAAGGGTCGGGGTTAACATGCTGCGGTGCTATCCATATTGCTATATAGGCCAGGAACCCGGCCGTTGCGCTCCGAGGACTTCAAAAGACTTTCAGTGTTTGACCGTCAACGTCTTCAAAGCAATCTACCGATTGTTAACAAACCTTTCATAGTGCCAGTGTAAACACCGGAGCTGGGAGTTAATGGAACGTTTTAATGGTTATTCTGTCAACGAAACTGGCCGAAAATTCCCAAATCGCCTCGCACTACGAACACTTATTCTTTAATACTGATAATGATAATGCCCCACTCTTTTGGTGTCTCGTTGCCATGCCACCCGAAGCACGGGGACTGAGATACAGCCAGATTGGCCAAACGTAGAGAGGAACAGTCGAGATGAACGGGTCGGGTTCGAACCATGGAGCTTCCGGTCAGTAAGTTCACGCGTTAACTACTGCGCTACCTCAAACTTACGCTTATCATCTATTGGAAAGCAGCTCCAAATAGAACCCCATCTTCAGCCCAGTTATTAGTTTACGTTTTTTGAATAATTTCTCCATCTGGTTCACCTATTAGATGCAAATGTGCGGATTCGGAAAGTTTGGAACAACCCCCCTACCTTGATAACCTGCGGATGAGTCGCATATTTCGGATTCAGTAAATTGACTGAGCCCGTATTTCTTTTGTTATGGTCGATTTAGAATCACGTCCGACTGGCGAAACACTGGTAGGTTTCCATGCATCCTATGCTAGAAACCTATGCTTAGAATCAAAAGAATGTTCGGAAAGAAGTAGACGACAGAGTGAAAGAAGTACATGAACTAGTCATATCGTAGATTATTGCGGTCATATTTCCACAGTAGAGAGCATGCACCACACACTCAGTAAGTAGCTTCCAAACGTGGAACTTACTCAAAATGGCTGCGTCATAAGAAGCGATGCAAAGAAATGGGCTGTACTGAATGCTTTTCTGACAGATGGTCTCCTCTGTATATCGTTGCGAGTCTTCAAACGGTTAGTTAGATCGCGCTCACCTCACCCCGCCGCGGAAGCCAAATAGAGAGATCCTTCGTTTCCCAGTGTGTTCACTCATCGGGAAAACTACTATATAGTTCAATTACAGACTCGGAAGGGCTTAGATTGAACTCTGGTTTGGTTCAAATCATGCATTGAAATTGTAAACCCAGATTGTTCTGTTTCTGAATGACGCCCTTGATGTGGGTTCGTAGCCAGTTTAAGGTGTCTCTGAGCAAGTACAAGAATGATCAAATGAACTACAACTAGAAGCTGGTCCACGGAATAGTTTCTTTATCTCTCGTATTTCAGCCATGCTGTCCATGCTGTTCCGCCTCTAGTTTGTGACGCGCTAAATTCTGTATGGGGAATGAGCAGATCCCAAATCAGTATGCGAAGCGCAGGGCCAACAAAACACAATTTGTGTCGGTTGGTTTGTTCCTGAATTCGGCTATCCCTCGCATAGTCAATTACTGGTGATGGCGGTCTACACCACTTTCTAAGGCTCGCATCGTTAGTCTGTAATGATTTCAATTACAAGAATACGATCCTGTGCATTTGCTACTTGACCAAACTGAAACTTCTGCAGTCCTTTTCTGATATAAGCAGTGTTTTGACAAAATAGGACTATCTAGAGAATTGAGCCCACACAGATGCAAACCATATAAGTTGTGGTATGCGGAAGAAATTAAAATAAAAGCCCCTCGACATTCTCCTACTCCGACTAGAACAGACGGACTACGTACTGTCGCACACTACGCGCACTCGCGGTACACCTCACATTCGTCTACAAAGCAGATGAGTCAGGCGACTGCTGCTCACTGTGATGGGTTCGAAGGTTCATCGTTGTAGTTGGTGCTACCAGTGCACACCAATCTGAAACTGCCGCCCGACCATGCCCTTTCACCAGAACCAAGATTATGACAAGCCTCCATCACGATAGAAGTTGGATAGTCATTTCCCGTCCCAATCAGTTAAGCCGGAAGTAGAGCACTAATGAACCGACTATGTACGTGGACGCATCTGTGGGAAGAAACTGAAAGCCAAAAAAACTGACGTAAACCTCCTGAAAGGACTGCATGCAAAAGAATGTGTATTTACTCCGGTACAAGTGAAACAAAAATAATAAAAGCAGGTGACCAACAAAATGAGCATACAACTGAAAGGAAAAAAGAGATGTAAAGTTGTGTGGTCAGAACACAACAACGACTACATCGTAACTGTTCAACTGTGATAAAACAGTGGATTCGGAACGAGAAAGAAAACGCCTTTTGAAGACATGCAGTTGTGAGAGGGGAGAGCATGAGGTAAAAATGAAATACGATGCAGAAGTTCATTTGTCACGCATTTCGCTCGGGACATCGTGTATGAATGATTTGTGGGCGAGGACCATCACTTGATGATTCACATGGTGTTATCACAATGCTCGGATGTTTGTGCTCTTGATCAGACGGGTGTAATTCGAATGCCTCCCCTGTGGAGAATGCAAAGTTAGGAGATGCAATCAAAGCGCATCAATGTAAGCGCGTTGCGATAAAAAATGATAGTAACCTTAAGTCAACAAGTGCAGCAATTAAATACGTTAGAAACAAGATCAGAAAACTTATATTAAACCTCAACGAATTGGTACAGCTGAGAAACTGTAAGAATAGGAGATAAAGGGTTATGAACAGGAGGGAAAGAGTCGTGATTTTATCGGTAACGAATAAACGGAAGGAATAGCTGTCAAACATTATGTTATCCGCTTTACGTACATCAATCGAAAAATGAGGAGGCCTGGTGTAGCACGCCATTTGAAGAGGAAAATCATGAGATTCATCTGGGATTCAGGTGAGGCCCCGTGAAAAACCAAACTGGTATGCAAATGAGTTATCAGACTAAAGTTGTGCATGTTCTTGTCGAACCATTTTCCTGATATTTTTCACCTGAGGTTATTTCTCAGCATGTAGATGGATCCATACAGTCTTGCGCATGCGTCAGCGAGATTGGAAACTATTTCCACTATCGTAGACCGGGCTTCCGACGGTTCTCTTCAAGAAGCTGACGGGATTTGAGCACTCTAATCCGGTGTATCTGTCGAGTATCGCGGTCAACACTTCTTTCTCGGAATCGGCTCTGTTCGCTCATTGAGATCTGTGTATCGTCCATTTACTGTCCATCTTGGTATTTTAAAATACCAGGACTTTTCGTACATCGACCTGTCTCATTCACACAGACACACACCGATGGCCAGTCATGTCAGCTTCACATTATATAATACTCGCTCCATCAATTGGTACTACAAGCTGACCGCCACAACTTTCGGACCTGATAATTCGGTAACTCAACTGGTTGGGTTGAATTCGCAAATTTGTACTGAATCCATATTGCCATATCGCAGAGACGGGTGCACTGTAGCTGGCACCGTCAGAACGTATAACACCTCGAAAGAAGAAGGTGCTTGCGATGACCCACGGATGCGAGCAAGCTTATAACTTGGTTACCTGAAGAAATAACAGCAGTAGACGGCAGGTGAATTTTCGGCGAGATAAGTAAATAGTATGGTGTGCACGAAGTCCTGGTACATGTTGAAACAAAACTCGTGTCATATTGGTGAGACGAGTGTGACAGTCGAAGATACGCCCTAGTCGCTTGATTGCCAGTTATTCTGCAGCGTATTATCTTGCAGCGAGTGATCTGATCTCTTTAAAAATAGCATGTCGCGCAGTCAGCTCATTCCGGCTGCTGAGTAGAAGCTCGCCCATAGGGAGGTATCACACACATACGTCTGATACACACGCTATCAATCGTCATCTACTGAAAAGCTGGTATCACCTTCGGGTGAAGGGTACTCCGAAAATGAGCATCCGCCTCTCGTAAATACGGTCCCTCGATTCTGAAAATTCCTCCACTAAAATAAGAAGATCTTCTGGTTAGGTCGGGCACCACCGAACACAAATTATCGGTGATATTTATCAGTAGCCTTCGTTTAGCTATGGCTGTTTCATAAGCAACGATCATTTTTTCCCTTTATCCGGAACTTCAATTGTGTCTTGTGCAGCGTTGTTCTATGAGTAGACATCGGTTCACTCTGCCGCTTGCAACAATAAAAAGATAAAAGAACAGAAAAACGTTAAGATATAACACCCTTTCGGTGCCTAGCTGCCGCACCACCCGAAGGAAGCACGAGGGCTGAATTACTGCCAGCTTTCTCAAGCCTGGACAGGGAAGTCGAAAGGAATAGGTCGGGTTCGAACCACGGACCTTCCGGTTGGTAAATTAGCGCTCTAACCACTGAGCTACCTTGTCCATTTGCAACAATAGACAAGCACTGCATGCTGGGTATCTAGTTTTCCTCCAGAAGGTAGACTTGGAAGATAGTTGACGCCAGCTTGTGTGCTGAACAGCGGCTTGTATTTAGATCTAGAGACTAGTCAAGACTAGGAAGTAAGCCACATCCATGACGTATTTCTTCGCAATTATGATTACGCACGCAGACCTACACGATTGTTACTGTATCAAAGTTTCGGAAGGACCGCCCTAACGCAAATCCAGCGCGTACAATCATCAAAGCGACACCAGTGGATGCATAGAAAATGGGATGGCATGTGAAATGCAGCATTGCGATTTAGGTAGCCGGTGACAATTACCGTAAGGTCAGAGTGATAGAAAAGCGACAGCTTGCCTCGTGTTTAGCGCGCTGATTTGTTACAGGCTGCTGTCTTATAAACTATTCATTCAGATTCTCCAATGTGTGTTGAACGTGTAAATACAATCGGCCACCCACTATTCCGATTATTCAAGCTAGGGGGCGAGATGGCCCAAGTGGTTAGAGCGCGAATGTACTGACCGGAAGGTCCGTGGTTCGAATCCGAACCCCGCCACTCGACTTCCCCTGTCTAGGCTTGGGCAACCTGGCAGTATCCCAGCCCTTATTCGGTCCACATCAAAACGCATTTACTGTGAACTAGACGAGATTTTAATGTTTTGAATAGAACGATTCCGTTGCCTCAGCCCAATTGTCGAATCCTTTAGGTGTCCGAAAGCCATTACCAGCAAACTCAGCTGCGCTGGTCACTGCCGTCTTCCTGGATGGGGACCCCGAGACGGGCCACGTCAATGGATAGAGACATTATCAGACACGGCCCAGTCGCGCCCTCAATGGCGCTCGTGCATCCAAGCTATTGCCTTCAATGCATGGCTCCTTTTCCACCCCACCCCCGCTTGACAACCCACTGACAGTGCTGGATTTATGCACCAATTTACCAGCTCGCGCGTGCAATGCGCAGCTACCTACCCCCCAATCATCGGTGAATGAAACTCCGGCAGCTACAACCAGTGTACGACCAGTAGGCGGTTCTTACAGCTGACAATGATGATGATGATGATGATTAGGTATCCGACTGCCCCTGAATAAGCGGCCAACTGTTTCTGGATTTGTAATGTTTACCAAGCGATGGGCTATGAGTTTTGCGTATAATACTTATAAGTAAGACTTCATATTGTTACAAGGAACGAAAATTTGAAACAGATGCCATAGGTCTTTGAACGACTACCAGATATCATCATAGACTAATCTGTTCCCTCAGGCACGGATCACTGTGCGTGTTCTCCAGGAATGGTGCCCATGGGAGGATGACCGCGCCATAGATGAAGTTCTCTCATAAGCTATCCGGTTTTATGTTAGGATGGATTTGTTCAATACTTGAAAGCGAAACATACCAGGAGATAGAGCAGCCAACGCTTCCAATAACTCGTAATTAATAACAGGTTCACACTCTGGTTTAGGCTCCCAACCAACAGGAGGTGAGCAGGGTGGAGAGAGGAGAAAAAGTCGTGGTGGTTTCGGTGGGGCCAAATGTTGCATTTTGCTTTTTTTGCTTCGCGCATTTCGCTTCTTGCAGTATGTACACGGAGCAGTTGGTCGGCTAACAAGGGGAACCAGGGACCCGGTCACATCATCACCCGAGGCTTCGCTGGTATTCTCGGCATCTGGGGTACTGGGTTTTCGTTCAGAAACCCGTCGGCTTTGTTGGTCACCGATGCTATCCAAACTTGTTGCCGTTTCCACCGTTACTGGAGGAGGTTGACCTTTATTCCAAATCGGAATATCACAGGCCACTTCTGAGGGAGATAAAGGTTCCTCCACACTACTTGATATCTGGTAAAGGTCCTCAACAGAGCCAAGGGGTCCACTGGCAAAAGGTTGCTTGGTCAGCGAGCCACATGTGCACATCTCCACATCAGATCCACTATCAGTGTCATCTTCTGAATCGTACTGTTCGACATGATCAATAAAACAATTTATTCCTTCATGATTCGATGAGAGGCGACTTTCGGGTGAGATCTGTGAGAGTACGGAGTCAGGAAGTTTCCATCCTTGTATCTGGAGACGAGCTAATAGAGCCGCTTCCGGGTTGGTCATGTATACCTAGAACATGAAAGGATGAAGCAGTGATTTACGACTGAAGTCAAAATACCGATTCTGTCATCATAGCGACCAGTAGTACTATGCAAGAAAAGTCGAAAGTAAGTGTCTGGAATGCAGTCTGTCTCGAAGACCATGAGATAACATGCACCCCAGAGTAAAAAGAGTACATAGAGTACACAGTACAGAAACCGACCAGTAAGAGTCCCCACAAATTAGACTTCCTTTGTGCATCCTATGCCGAATACATACTAAAAAACTAGGCCTGTCCAGAGTCCGATCGTTTAAAGAAAGAAAAATACATAAAATAGTGATAGATTAGTTTGTATGAATCGCTAAGGAACCAGTCAAAGTTGCTAGCAATTTTCCTCAAAACTAGAAACTGGTGCATGCCCAGCACAACAGGGACAAACTTTTTACAACGCATGTAGCCGATTCCGAAAAGCATGAGTTGATTAAAATTGAGTGGTTGTGTGTATGACCTTTCGTAAGAGAACTGACGACGAAGTCTCGGCTGGTCAAATTCTACACCTGCGGCTTGGTATCACACAATACGTTGGGGTCAATAATACGAGAACTATTTAGGAATAACAAGGTCTTCTGAGCGGACCGTTGCGTGTCGGACTCTTAACTACGTCCGGTCTATTACCAGAGTCCACCAGGCGACTCATTATGAGCGTTGATACAGTACTTTAGACATGAAAACCAAAATATGGGTTCATAGTGAAATTCAAACACAAAATTGACTGTCCACGGATTCAGTTGGCAGAGCCACTGTAAGGTAACCAGAAGGACTCGGTTTCGATTCACCAACAGTCCGTGTTTAAGTAGGATTCGGACCACGAAAATTCCTGTCAGTAGCTTCGCGCCTTAACCACTGAGCGGGCTCGTCTTCGTATAAAAATGCAATAAATCTTGGGGATAGGTATTCCTATTTTAGGAAATCGAAAGTGAGCTGTTGACGGGTTTTCGTCAATAATCACATTACACAACAGCGTCCCGAAGTGTGCTGCACTCCTGCCAACGAAGAACTACGTTGGGCAGGCATCAAAACAGCTTCCGAACGGAGGCATTACCACTAAAAAAGACTGAGTGCTAATGAGATTTTCCCAATCAGCTGGCGAAGACTTGTGAATAGGTGTTTTCATCAAATTTTTCAGTTGTGATTGAGGTCCTCAGGTGAAAACGTTAATACGTCAGATACGAACGTAATCAGCTCCTCCACTTAATACATCAAGGGTGTGTATTTCAGTGATACAGCGTCGGAGAGAAGTCCTCATAAGTGTGAATTATTTCCTTAGGTATCGATGTCTTTATTATTGAACGCCCTTTAGAGGTAACGCCCTTAAAAAATTACATGTGAAAAGGATGGATTGCTCTCGAAAAACGGGTTCCACGAACATGACCAAAATGGTATGAACAGACCGCAAAAAGCCAGATGGCTAATGGCAGATAACCCCGGGTGTGCACTAGGAGACCCTAGGAAAAGATCGTTGAGTGTAAGAAACAACCCTAGTTTCACCGAGTAGAATCATAAAAATTTCAATAGAACTGCGTTGCACCCATTACTTAGTGGTCTTATTAGCCCCTGTCTCACTGATCCTGATTAGAAGAAACTCGGCGAAGTTCCGTTAAACATTGAATGACGTTAATTTGAATACCGAGACGGAAAGAAACAACTATGTCTTCGAACTGGCTCTGCCCAACAACAGGTGTCACCATAGCGAGATACCTAGTTTGTGAATCACATCACATCATTCACACCTATACACAGTCAGGAACATAGAATCCACTTCAGACAATATTGTGTCGAGAAGGGATTACTTCGATCGACTTGATTGATGTCTTGCCTGGCGGGGAACCCCTGTAAGGGAAGCAAAACGTCACTGAGGTACCCTTTTCCTTGATTTTTGACACTATCCAATCTGGACCATAGAATTCTGCGATCTTATCACAGCAGGTAATTGTTAAATAAGTAGTCCCGAGACAACACAGCCGTCCACTATACCTTCCAATCACTCGTTCGAAACCATGTTGCTGTACACTCCCTAGTTATGCCAAGTACCCGTACTTTATCATCTAAGGCCATATCACGGCTGAATCCTTAACCAACATAGCGATAGTGTATGCACCTGGTTATCGAATGTGAAGGCAGGACTGATCGATCCTCCGGGCGGGTGTCCGTTTGCTGCTAAAATGAACCGGTGGCGATTGGGTGAACTAGCAACATATCTGTCAAAGATTGGTATGTCGGGGGCATTGTGTTCAAATCAATGGGTGCTCACGAAAAAACAGGGAGTACAAGCTAACAGAAAGGTGATAAATAGGTCAACAAGCCTATCTGATTCCATCCAACAGCAAAGCTAGTGCAGATAATCAGACATCGAACCTCGGCTCGCATGATTGGTCGAACAGCCCGTGAATACAGTCTTTATACCAGACAAAGCGAATGGACGCACCCTTGTTTCATACCTTATCTGTTAGGCATCCTGCTGGGTAATGACATCAAACGGAAAAGCGCAGCTACGTGGCACGACGCAAAGCCGTGCAGAAATCTGGGTGCGAACGGTCGACTGAGGCACACGATGGATGTTTTGCCATATTTAAAAGTAAGAGTTGTTTAATGTGGCCAGACCACATTAGACCTTCAATGCATATTTATGTGCAAACCGATTTCATATAGATGCTGATGGCGATGGACTTGTATGTGTTTTTTGAGAGTGGCGTGGGTACAAATGCTACCTCACATCAAGACAGGAAATACCTTTTACTACCCAGTATTGAGAAAAGGCACTTTTTATAACTCTCACTGAAGTGGATAGAATTTTGTCAGCCAGAATTCAGCAGTAAATAAATGATTCTTCTCTCTTAGTCCATCCACTATACCAAAGAGTCTGTTTAAGCTATACAGAGACCTCATCACTACGGTTTTCCGTCCATATGTGTTCAGGAGCAGTCTTCGAATCAAACCGACGGGGAGAGCAATAATGACATTTTACAATACGCAATACCAACCAAGATTACAGCAGCCTACTGTACTCAGAATGTTAAAATATCACTATTGGGTGTACTGATGTTATCTAGTTTGACCACATAAAGTTTAGCTACAACACGTGACTTACAAAACCACAACTCTTTCGCTGTGACAGACTACAACGAGCTTCGCCCCTCTTTGGGGCGCAGCAGTAAGGCACAGTCCATGAGTTTCCCTCAACCATACTGTGCCTACCTAGCGAGCCCTCAGAGGGGGCGAGACCTACTGTGGGCTGTCGAAGCGTTTCCAGCAACCTTATGAGAAGTGTCCTGTCTAGGCAATGTACTGCGCCATCTAGAATACTGTAATATTTGAAACATAAGGCGGCCTTGTGCAGCTCGTTCGGTTGAGGGGCATCATAAACGAGAGATTCAGCTGGATTCAGTTGAGTCTGTTGTCAAGGACTACTCCTTTGCTTACCTTGAGAGCATGAGTCACCAATATGCGCTAATCGAAACACAAGAAACTGCAGTCGAAAACCTGGAGCATCATCTGAGTTAGCCTCCAGCAAGCAATTTAATATACAAGGAGTTCACCATAATCATACTCATAACCATCATCACTGACAGCAACACCAAATGAGAACGCTGGTAATTCGCTACCTAAAATCAAGTCAATTTGTTTGAATAAAGCCTCATAACGAAAAGATAAAATTGCGCAAAAAGGACCAACGACTAGCCTACCACAAACATTCGAGATACCCACAACTTCAGCGCTCAGTTAGAAAATCCAGATAGAAACTGAACACCACTGACGAAGGTTAGCTGCCATCCAGTCCAGTGTCGCCAGGGAAGCATAGGAAAGCTCATGCGAACTCCATCCTGAAAGGCAAACAGTGCCAACAACACTCCAACGTTTCGTAATATCTTTCATTCCACTCTTCAATCTCAAATTCTGTCTACCTCTAGGTCTCTGCCATTCTGAATTAGACACGGAAAACAGCGCTCGTTTCGGCAGTCGGTAACTCGGCATGCGTAACATATGGAACAGCCACCTTACCCTGCAGTGCTGGATGCATTCTTTGATTGAAGTGCATTTTGCTTCACCAGAAACTCGTCTCCTGATCATCTCATTCCCAATTTGCTGTCTCAGCTGGTTCCTTTGCCTGAAGTGGTCAAGTCTCACACCGTACATGTGATAAGGTATACACACCCTTTTGGACTCAGTGAAATACCCTTTGTATGCCAAAAGTGGCGCGTTGACTTTGTCTGTCACACTACCGTCAGAACTAATGCGACTTCCGGTGTACCAGTTCCAAGGTCAGACATTGAATTCCTAGAGGCACGCTCAAAGACTGCACGTCTGCCAGAATAATTCCGCAATCTATGGGGGTGAAGCAGATGCCAAAGAACTGGATAACCTCGTTCAACTTTTTCAAGTAATGCTTGCACTTTCTACTCTTTCAAAAGACAGAACAATATCTGCATAGTCTAGGTCAACAAGGTCCTCAAAACTGAAGCTTTGGAGACCTTATTATGTCATCAATGAAGAAATTAAACAGAAATGGATGGAGTGCAGTGGACACCAGTGCTTGTATGAAAGCTGTCTCATGCGCTCATAAATATGTGAACACAAACGGTGACTGATATTCACGAACTTTTTGGGCAAATCCGTTGCGCAAGGGCGTTGCTAAGAACTAGCCGGTCGATAGAATTGAACGCACGCTTCATGTTAGGGAACACCAAGATTGTAGGGCGAATAATAATAATAATAATAATAATAATAATAATAATAATAATAATAATAATAATAATAATAATAATAATAATAATAATAATAATAATAATAATAATAATAATAATAATAATAATAATAATAATAATAATAATAATAATAATAATAATCGTTCAACTGTAGCGCCCTTTCGGTGCCTAGCTGCCATGCCACCCGAAGGAAGCACGAGGGCTGGGATGCTGTCAGGTTGCCCAAGCCTAGCTAGGGGAAGTCGAGAGGCAGAGGTTGGGTTCGAACCACGGATCTTCCGGTCAGTAAATTCGCGCTCTAACCACTTAAGCTATCTCGCGATTACACACATGTCGTTATTCCAACACTTGAGGGAGTGTGAAAATGTGATCCACGCAGCCCCTTCCGATCAGAATCCTGGTTGCTTTTCTATGGTCCCGTCCTAACATTTCTTCATCAGACGACGTAGAATAAGCGATAAAGACAGGCTGGTTGTAACAGGAATTAAGCTAATTCCTATAAGATTAAAATACCTCCTGTGGGCACCATGTTTAAAAATGGGCTCAACTATAGACTCATCCCAGTTGGTTGGAATATTCCCTTTCACCCAAGTAGAAGCAAATAAAGTAGACAAATAACGAGTGAAAATTTCACCTCAACTTTGAACAGAGCGGGTGGGAGTTCATCAGGAGCAGCAGCTCGGTGACGGTTGAAGAGCAAAAGGCATACGATTACTTCGAAGGCAATCGAAGATTCCAACTTCCCTGTCCAAAGCCGCCTTGCGGGTCGGGAATTCGGCTGAGTGGCCAGATAAGCAGGTCATTATTATCACTGATCATTTCACTCGGCGCAGGACTATTTGGGTTTGTTTCACGAACGTTCCCAGAGTCTCTTGCTTCCCCAGTCTACTCAGATTTCTGGACCTATCAAGCTTCTTGATGCGCGCAGATGCCCTCTTTCACCTGAAGTCTGACAGTTCAGGTGCTACTGTACTCTAAACCAGGAATATGTGTCCGAGCTTCAAGCAAGTTTAGTGTTGCTCGAGATCCAGTGCCCAAATGGAATTAGCCGCGCCGTCTTACAAGCGCAGCGCTCAGCATCTTGCAAGGTTGTGGACAGTAACTCCCAGTAACAGGACGGGATGTCCGAAACGAACTTCAATAGGTGCTTTCGTAGAACACCTTCAAATCGGAAGACAAGAGCTTTTTAGTGACCAGGAGAAGTGAACCGTGCTCACCCCTGAAAAGCGCAACCAGAAACAGCAACAAAAAAGCTCATGATTCGAATCTGCACAGGTGTTCCAAAGCAAGCAACAACCAGAAATTGGTCCACGCAATGACGATGTGATCTATCTGTGTTCCAGTCGCTTCGTGACTACATAAGTTCTTCATGTGTCGACTTCAAATGAACCACAAACTCAGAAAACAGGAGTCAATTTCGAAGAAAACTGACTGAGCTGATTTGAGCGAAAGCGAAAGAAACTAAACGGTCTCATTAGCACTCTACACCTAACAAATTTGATTAGAATAGCGAATTTAAAAGAGCATAACTGCGAGTTCAAGTACCCCTAGATAACCATGGTTTACGCAACCCAAAATATTGAAAAATAGAGATTATTAGCCTAGCAGTGCTCTGAGAGAGTACAGAAAAAGTGCCAGGGACATCAACGTTTGGTGTTATTATCAAGCGATATGCACGCCGAGGGGTTAGGAGAGTCGCTATTGCGATCTCCTGGAAGGTGTTTCTTGTGGTTCGGGAAAATAATTTTCTCTAGATGACAATATGGGGAAGTTCTCCGGTACAAAAATGATTCATAGACAAAAGCACTCCGTTTTGGGGGCAACACGTCTGCCGATTGCAAAGCTTACCTGAGCTCTGTTGAAACTCGGGAGGTAAAGAAAGGTGCAATGTGGGTCCAGGGGTTTGAACAGACCTTCAAACGTCTCCTAAATATCGTAGAAAATGATGAAGTAGCGATACCTGTGCCAAGTTGTCCGTGTACACCTCTCGTGGGACATTAGTCACTATTAGTTTTAGCGATATACCCTTGAGTGAATGGAGGATTCCTTCGATTTCGCCACATGTGAGAAAAGAGCCCTGTTGAGCGAGCTGGTCATGGATGCATTTAGCAGAATTATCAGATCCATTCATGGTTCTCGAAACATTGCACTATGAAATCGGTCAGTCAGCGAAAGGTAAACCGTCAAGTAGGTAAAACCAGCTGGAATGTAAAATGGAAATCATTAAAAGATACAGAGTGACAGGCGTACGATGACACAACCAACAAAATTATCACGGTGAAACCCATGTATTGACACGACAAACTAGCACTGGTATACTTTGAATGCGAGCTGTGATCGACCAAAAATTACTTACTTCGGCTCAGTAAACATGGAAACGTTCAACTGCAGTTGCTTTATAGCATGGTCATCATCTGAAAAAAACGGAGTTATATTGTAGTTGGTTCTAATCCGCTGAAACGTATAAGCTCTGAATAATCCAGGGGTTGATATTCGACACTTAGTCGTACCCGCCCACAGGTTGAGTCTGCCCCCAACTTCCCGACCGACTGTCTGTCATGCGCAGGGTGTATGAAAGTTTTCTGCCTCGGTGATGCACTATTAGGAGACATCTATCTCTCCAATAATCCGTTTTGTTTCCATTTCAATCGGATGACTTACAGCAGACAAGTGCACACAAGCTCGACATTCATCCGTGTACTGTAGATGGTGTGCAGCGCTACGTTTCAAAATTCATGAAAAGCAGAGTGAACTGTCGGAGGGTGAGTTAAACCAAGCGGTTAGTGCGCGAATTTACTGACCGAAAGGTCCGTGTTTTGAACCTGACCTCTACCTCTCGAATTCCGCTGTCTAGGCCTGGGCAACCTGGCATTAGCCCAGCCCTCGTGCCTCCTTCGTGTGGTATGGCAGCTAGGCACCGAAAGGGCGCTACAGCTGATCGATTGATTTGACTGATTGAGAATGAACTGTCCGTGTGGATAGCAAGAGCCTCCATAACTCTGTCAACGGGATTACATCACAAACCATAAACTGAAAAGGCACGCAGCTTGACTTTCCCCTCCGATTCCCTCTTCTCAGTGTCAAACTTTACAATGCTGTTTTATGCCTCAAAATTCTCACTGGTGGCTGCTCGTCTCAGCTTTTCAATTTCCGGGAGGGCTCACCTCGCAGTCCGTGGTCAATCGATTTGGACGTCTTCCACGATTGAAGTACCAGTTGCACAACCAAATACCCGTTTTCTAATTATCTTGTTACGACTGTGTAGACATAATTCACTGTTCACAGGGTTACTGAAAGCGCTTCGACAGTCCGCGACCGGTTTCGCCCTTCTCGGGGCACATCAGGTAGGTTCAGTCCCCGAGTTTCCGTCAACCTTACGTTCTACTTAAACCCAAATTGCAAGAAATTAGCGAAATACACTCATTTGCACACCAACTTAGTTTTGACGGGAGACCCACCTGGAACTCAGCTGAATCTCTCGTTTATGATGTTTTCAAGTAACTGAATAAACTGCACCAAGGCTCATGTTTCAGTCGGCATGGTATTCGAGATATCATCATATATTGTACAGACGTACTTCACCATCATCATCAAAGACAGCCAAATCAGTGTTGACTTTGGTGCTTCACTGCCGTCCAAACATACGGTTCGTGCAAATATATTTAAAGCCCTAGAGTGAAAGAAAAAGAACAAGAGTGGGCACACAACCAAATATCTGTATTCTAATCACCTCGTTACTAATCCGTTGGCACCAGCCAAAACCAACAATGCTTCAGAAGCATCGGTGGTCAAAAACCTGAAGACGCCTCACATCATCCGTCCGCAGAAGCGACGTCTCTCAGCCATACAACAACACAGTCCTTAACGTAGCACGTTACACGCGACCCTTAAAACCCACTGATATTCTATTCACATCAATTCAACTTATCAGCTATAAACCGCGTGCCATGGGCACATTGGTTCCAGCTGCTACAGTTTTGATCACCGGAAAACGGGAAAGAGGAACATACAACCAAGCCTTTGAGGCGAAGGTATGTTCGGTTTGATCAGAAAGCGGGTAGCTACGCATTGAGGGCGATAACTCTGATGCACGAGCACCACTGGCTGCGCAACTGGGACATTCCGGCCAACGTCATTAGCCACTGGTGATTTGAGTCCTGGGGTTTTCATCCAGGGAGGCGGCAGTTGCCCACCCAACGAATTTTACTATTTAGGGTTTTCGTACTTCGTTGCCAGGTTATACGCCGTCCACCTTTCGGTCGCTTCCACCCAACACAGGGGTGGGTGAAAAGAGCTCTATGAGGCAGACGGTTTTCTGACATGTGGAGTACATGTCCCAAACAGCGCAACCTATGAAGCGTGAGTGTTAATTTATCGCAGGAGAGTTCTTCCTTTCCAAATGATATGCCGTTTTGATGCCACAAGTGACGCAAATTAGAAAGCGGGATTTGAGCCTTTGAGATTACTGCACTAGTTTCACCAGATACATTTCCATCAGGGCTTACAACTACTGGGGCATACAAAACTCTCTACATCTCCAGTGATTCTCCTTGAATTCTAAGAGACTGCACGTTCTGAAGCATGCATTGTACATGTGGCGTTGTTCTAACACCTGACAGAGTATGAATATGTGGTCGACGAAGCCCCTATCGGGTCGAAATCCCGCTTAACGCTTAAGAGTCCAGGTTTCGCGTGCCACCGCAAGACGACGAGGAATCGGTGACACCAGAAGCCTTGCCACAACAGGAGTCAAAATGACACCTGTGGTTACGACATTCTCTGCCAGTACCATTTTTGAAAACTTGTACTTCTGTCGAATTAACCCAGTTGTCTTGGATGGTCTCTTTCTCCCAGACAGACCCACAGGGGTTAGACAGGCACCGGCTGAGAAGCCCACAGCTATCCTTCTAAAGACCATTTAGGTCACTGTAGAAGGGCAACTAAAGCGTCATAGAAACTGTCCTTGATAGATTCAGATCTACAATCAGTTGGGGCGTACACAGGCACAGTAAATAAGTTGTAACGGACCGCACTTCCTGTAATTTCCCTCACAGATGTTGCCAGACGAACCACACATATGCAACTATCAACGGGTATCCAATCAAGTGGAGACGCTTCTGTCTGGTCGCTGAATACGATAGCCAGCCCAAAATGTCCAGCTGCAGCGGCCTCTGCGTCAACAGAGGTGCGCAGTCCGAACCTGAGAGTGAGAGGACAGTCAGTTTGGACACAGTACTTACGTCCTGCATCCTTGTTTCTGACAGACAACGTACATCAATGCATGGGGAATTCAGCGTACGAACAAGAGTCATCTGTTGGCATCAAAGGTTGATAAGCAGACAGGCATTCGGTGTTTGAAAACAGAATTCGAAGTGTTAAGGGTTGTTACTGAACTCGTACGTACAGAAGCTTCAGTTGAGTGTGATGCAGGGCGAGCAAAACGGTCAATCCTAATGCTCAGACCTGCGGAGAGAGCATACAAATTTGGGTGGGGTAGGATGAAAGTCGGAAAACGTGGGAGCGTAGGAAGGGAGGCATCCGCAGTAGCATGTTTTCGCCTCCCCACCCTGTTGTTTGCAGCAAGTAAGGCGACCCAGTTGATGGCATCACGCAACGGCCGTTGTCAGCTGTAATAACCGCGTACTCGTCGTACAGTGGTTGTAGCTGCCGCAGTTTCGTTCGCCGATGGTTTGGGGGGAGGGGTAGATAGCTGCGCATTGCAGGCGGGAGCTGATAAATTGGTACATAAATTCAGCAGTCAGTAGGCTATCACAGCCGTTGTGACGTGAGAGTATTGCTACCTGTAAACGTCATGTTTGTTCATGGGCTCGAATACTGCCAGGGCACCCACCCCTAGATATGAGGACGATTAGAGCCCTCAACCAAAGCCTTGAGACTTGGCCTAATCGAGCAGCGGACCTGAGACGTCTTCAGGTGTTCGACAATCGTTGTCTCAGAACCATAGCTCGTGTGGGTTGGTGTCGGCGAATCCGTAATGAGGCAGTTAGAAAGCGGGTTTTCGGTTGTACAACGGGTACTTCCACTGAAAAATGTGTCCAACACCAGAAGCTGCGTTGGTTGGGACATGTGTTGCGTATGTCGAACCATCGAGCGCCGAAGAGAGTACTGTTTTCCACGCCCAATTCGGAGTGGCGTAAACAGAGGTGACCAACCCTTGACTTGGCAGAAGAGTATGAAGATCACGAAACGCCTGGGTGCTGTCGGTGCTACTCGTCTTCCAGGATGGGGACCGCGTCATCCTCACTGTGCCTGGCTGGAGACACTACAAGATATGGCTGCCAACCGATGTCAGTGGCGTTCTTGTCGTCAGTTTCTGTCCAGATTGCCTGAGTGAATGTCTGGAGGTGTAAGCACCTCGGAATGATTGTGTTAAACTAGCACTAAGTCCCTCCCCCATCCACTTTTATTCTTTTCTTTGCAATAAGGCTTACAAATAAGTCATGGTTGTACGGCAGTGAAGCATCGGTGTTGAACACTGATGTCATGCTTTTGATGATGATGATGACCAAAGCCTCTGGCTCAAAAGCCTAACCGCAAAACAGCGCTGGAAATCCAAGTATATTACCATTTTTACGGAAAACTTCACCACACACGTCCCAACCCCCAACTTGGAGGGCCTGGAGCCTGTTCATCAGACCTCTAACTACTGACTAACCTGCTACGAGAGAATCAGTGAGTGCGGCGAGGACAACCCCCAGCATAGCTCCGTGGGTCGCCCGGGTACACAAACCGCCACACCATGGTATGGTCGTCTCTTCGTAACGGATTCCACTGTCGATGAGAGCTGATATCGATTTAAGTTCATGTTGTCTTTCCAGGGATTCAGTCGATCCAGACCAGCAGGCATGTTTTTTCAGAGCGTTCAGCTCACGTTCACTGTCTAATACCGGGCTGACCTCAGGAATGGCCACAGGGTTGGAGAACGGCAATATGTGCCATACTCGTCTAATATCAGAAACACGATCAGAACTGGTGAAGTGGAAGTGTAGTGTAAAAATCAAATTAATGGCTGTGACATTCGATCGTAACGCTTCTGAGGAACCGGCGGTGAAAAAACGAAGACGCCTCACATAACATGTTAGCAGACACCACGTCTTGCAACTATACAAAAGTACAGCCCCTATTGCAGCCGGGTACACAAAACACAATGATATACCTTCTTGAAGCTAGATGTGACGTAAACCAACAAACGTGATTCTGGCCTTAGAGATTTGTGCACTGACCTCATCAGACACACTTCAGTTAGAGCTAAAACAAATGTAAAGTTTCCCACAACCTAGTGCTTCTCCCGGAATCATAGGGAGCATGTTCAGAGGAAGTACGTTCTGGCGCATGACTATGCACTCCGAAGATACAAGGCACATGCTGAAAGATGGTACGACGGTGGTCAGTTTGTTGAACAAGGTTCGTATTTCTCATTCGTCTTCAGAAATAAGGACAACGTACTCCGACAAGTTTACCACCAATGATTCGAATGCCACAGCTCCGAAGGTCTTCTAAGGTTCACTTCGTTATTTCACTGAAGACAAAGATGAACCAAACGGCCTTGGTTGCGGGACATAGTCATCCTCTTTTGTAGGTGTCGACGGCCTGACAGCATCCCAAGCAGCGTACAATCATGAAGCCTATAAGCAGAAATGCCATCACGCCATATCTGCTGTCGCGTGGCACCACAGACCGAGCCACCTTACACGCTGTATACAGCAAGGCAAGTAAGCGTAAAAACCCTGCGCCGACGCCCCAAATCTTACGCTATCACCCATTTCTTTTTACTCCCTACCCCATCTTAATGTGAACGCACCCTCTCTCTGCAGGTTTCAGCAGTAGGATTGACCGCTCCGCTCGCCCTGCATCACGCTCAGTTACAGCTTCTATTCATCTGTCCTCAATAACAACCCTTGAAATCAGTTTTCGAAACCCGAAAACTGGTCTACTTAGCTACTCCGAATGTTTGTACAATGAAGCAAGCACGAAAACCAGTGGCTCCCACCAAATCAACGTCGAGCGCTTCTTCCTGCAATTTTCTTTCCAGATTATCGGATTGAATGGTTGAGGATTGGGGTAGGCTAGAACCAGGTCCTGCTATTTTCATCTCCAGTTTAAGGGTTTAGATATAATTAAATGAACCTTGTCACAGTACGACACTGAAGCATCCGTAACAACAATGGCGTTGCGACCTCTGATGACGATAATGATTGGGCCCCGCTTACTGACTGGATGGTCCGTGGTTAGAACCAAACCTCACCATTTCGATTGATCTTGTCTAGGCTTTGGAAACCTGGTAGTACCTTAGCCGTCGTGCTCCCCTATGTGTCGTGGCGACTAGGCACCGAAATGGTGTCACAATAATTATTTCGCGGCACATTCATCTCAGTTTAGACGAGTAGGATGCTTGCAGATTATTCACCGTTGGAGACAGTCAACTATTAATCTTTATGATTTTAACACGTTTCTTATCTTGAAAAACCCTAGCATGACGCAACAAATGATGCAACTGCCTTAAAACCCCAAATAATACGGATTATTTCGGCCCTTAGGTCACAATTTCCCGTTCCTAGTCGCAGCCTTCGATGTTCTCGGGAAGAGGACATTAGGTTAGGATTCCTGCACGAAGGTAGTATGGATAGGTTGCTCACCACCGAAGCTCTGAGTCGTAGCAACTAATTTTCATACTAGTAACTCCAGTGAGGGTCACAGAACGCCTGACGTCGCGATTTTTCCTACGCATGCAAGCATCTTTTATAAACTCGGGCGTTAATCTGCCGATGCTGCATTGTTTAAGAATATGGTGTATCCCATTCTAACAATAATGCTATTGCCTTTCAGACTGAAAAGTTTACATTAGACCCCAGAATGAACGACACATGAAAAGCACTAGCTCCCTCGTGTTTGTCCGCCACCTACAAGGTAGAGTATACTGAATACGTGTGAATGTGAAAAGACTTGAGAACGAGTCAGTTGCAGCGTACGACACTTGAGAGTTCGAAGACATGCCCTGAGTGAACTCCTGCTATCATGCTGACCGCTGATGATATTTCTTTGGCCATT